CATCTGGCTTCCTTCCTTCATTTTCTTTTTTATGTTGGTGGTAATGGTGCTATTTATTGCTGGGATGGACTCAGGCCCTAATGCATCCCAGGCAAGCATTCTGTCACTGAGCTGTAACCCAGTATGTAAGTGTTCTTTAACTGTTCTATTCACCTTTATTTTTATCTCTGTGTGGTGTGTACGTGTGTATGTGTGTGTGTGTGTGCGCGCGTGCACGCGCGCCTGTGGAAACCAGAAGAGGGTGTCAGAACCCCAGATTTTGCACTTATGGTGGTTGTGAGCCATCCGATGTGGGTACTGGGCACTGAACTCAGGTCCTTTGGAAGAGCAGCAAACACTCTTAACCACTGAGCCATTTTTCTAGTGCCTTATTTTTTTGTTTTATGTGCCTGAGTGTTTGCCAGTGTATTTGTATGTTCACCATGTGTATGCAGCGCATGCAGAGGCCAGGGGATGGGAGTGCTACATCTGCCAGACCTGAGCAGCAGTTGAGAACTTCCTGCTCTGCAGGAGCAGCAAATCCCTTAACCACTGACCCACTGTCCAGCCACTCAGGAAGTGCCATTAAAGAAGAAAATTTAAAAATTGCTCTCTGAAATTCCATTTAATAGTTTTAGAGCTCTTTAAATTTTTTGTTTGTTAAAGCATTATTTCATACTAGCTTACGCTGACCCTGGACTGTACCTCTCCGATTGCCTCAGCTTGTAGGTGCTGGGATTATATATTATGAGCCATCACACACCTGGCTAAAATTCTTATAATAGCATTTCTTCATTTATACTTTATCTCACTTTTACCGAATTTATCCATTAACAGGTAGTATCAGTTGGTTTGTGTCTTGGTAGCAGTTCTTTGACTCTCTGCAGTCTGTCTGTTCTTTGGTCTCAAATGTGGACCTGCAGCAAGAGCTCCACCTGGTTCCTCACTAAGAAAATGTTTGCCATTGTGGGTTGTATTGAGCCTAATCCATGCATGGAAGGTGGAGAGCTGGGCTTCTCTCTGATAAATGCTCACTGGAGCATTATCTGATGAATACACTTTACCTGAGCATAAATAGGAATGTTGAAGTTGGATTAGCTCTCTAATGTCACCAGGGCTCCATTTAGTACACTGGAAGAAGAATAAATGATGCTTTAGCATTGTGTTTGTCATTCTGAATGGAATGCCTGCCAGCAGATCAAATTCTTCCGCTGTCAGAAAGGATCTGATTCATCTGGGGATGTTGCTACCTTTGTGGCCTTATCTGATGGCTTCATTTATTTTCAGGGAGCGGAACAGAAAAAGCAACTTAATATTCTCTTCGTAGGAGCAGATTGCCTCAATTATATTTAGGCTTTTATAAATCTCCATCATTACAGAAAGTAACTGCTAACTGAAGTGAGCCAAGCCAACTAAACACTGGTGCTAGCTCAGCCTGAGCTGTTCCTGAAGAGGGGTTAAAGAGACCACAGAAGGGCAGTGCCTTAGGGTTGACATGTATGAACATTTCCAGTACTAGCAGCACAGCACAGCGTATATATGCTCAGTATTTGGGCAGCAATTTGGATGTTTCTTACATCAGTTCAGACCCTTTTTCTCCTTTTCTTTTTCTATCTCTTGGCTTCTTCCATATCGTTCCTTGTACTTCTCCATAGACACTGGGAATGAAAGGGGGATATTAGCCTTTTCCATATTTCCTCTGATTTCAGATTTTGAAAGGGTACATGATAAGTTGTTTAAAAAAACACCTTTGTGGATTGGGAGAATATTTGCAAATCATTTCTCTGATAAAAGGTTAATAAAAAATTATAGCAAACTTATATAGCTTAAGTATAGTCCAATTATAAATGGTCGTATAGCATAAAAATACAGTATAAAATAGCCAACATGTGTAAGACATCCTAGGACCATCCAGACAACTATAGTCTGTCCCCAAGAAAAACACATAATCTCTGTTGGGAAACCATCCCCGGCTACATGTAGCCCTTTTTTCATTCTCTCTTATGATTACTGAACTTTTCCTCCACTTCAGTTATAGGTTGAATTGAGTCTTCTTTCTCCTCCTGATATATGACAGCCTTCTAATCTTGCCTCCTTTGCCTCCCCTCCCCACCTTCCTCTTCCTTCCACTTTGATGGGGCCACTGGGGAATATAACAGTCGCACTTACGACAAGAGCTAATAGCTATCCTTACCTTGTCTGGGCATTTAGCAGTGTCTGTGCTCTGGGGCACTGCAGAGGCAAATGTAGCCTCTGCTTTCCCTGTGATTTTTTTTTTCTATGACAGGGTTTTTCTCTGTGTTGTCCTGGCTGTTATGGTCTTCCCAAATTCATCTGAGCAGATAGTGTGTCCATATGAATAGGATCCATTCAATTCTGGCACAGCCATTACTACAAGTATTTGTCAATTTGTACATCTGTCTTCTCAAACATCAGGGGCATTCTTAATCGGTTTCTCTCTGATACCTGTTTGAGTGCCAAGCATATGGAGGGTTCTTGAAGATGTTGACTAGATGGGTGGCTATAATGTGCACAAAAAAAAAAAGAAAAGATCATTTACTTTAAACAAATTTCATAGCCTGAGAGGAATGCCAGGATGGCCCACACTTTGCATTACCTTCTCCAAGTCCCCAGGATTTATCACATTGCAGACATTTTATCATACTACTCACTTTGAATGCTTTAATTAAGCAAAAACTCCCTCACATGTGTGCCCATCAATTTTGGCATTTTAGTTCATTTCAAATGTAGTCAAGGTTACAACCAAGATAGCTATTTCAACTACTCACATTTAATTGCTCAATAATAGTTTAAACATATACTCTTTCCAAATACATAGAAACCACAGAGATAATCAATTAAGCAAGACCCCCCCCCAAGAAACTATGAAGATGTATGTGAATTCAAAATTTCACCATGCAGAAAATGCTTTGCCTCAAGGAAAGGGAGAAATTTGAGCCAGTTTTGAAAAATTCATCTGCAAGATGGTTCTGAAGTAGAAGTGTATATTAGTTAGGGATGTTGCTTCTGTGATGAACACCATGACCAAAAGCAACTTGCAGAGGAAAGAGTTTATTTGGCTTACACATCCCAAATCACAGACCACTGAGGGAAGCCAAGGCAGGAATGCTACTGTGCAGAAGTTGATGCAGAGGCCATGGATCTTATGGACTTGTTCTTCATGAATTGCTTAACCTGCTTTCTTATAGCACGAGACCATGAGCCCAAGATGATACCACCCACAATGGACTAGACCCTCCCCCATCAATCACTAATTAAGATGCGCTATATAGGCTACATCCCAATCTTAGGAAAGCATTTTCCCAATTGAGGTTCCCTCCTCTCAGGTTACTATAACTTGTGTCAAGTTGGCATAAAACTAGCCAGCACAAAGTGCAAGTACAGATGGAATGTGCATGTAGATACTAGTAGATAGGGACAGCTTGGTGAAGTCCCATGGTAACTGCTCTGTGAGAGCATGCCTGTGCAAATAGTAGGGCAGGAGCAAAGAAACAGATACTAACTAAGGCTTTCCCGTGGAAGGTGGGAGGTGTGTTCTACACTCCGAATAAAAGGATTTGGTTAATTATTCTACGTGCAATGTGGGGGATGCATAGCAAAAAGGGAAGAGAGTGCTGGTAGGTATATCATCACCAAATCCCAGATGTTTCCAGAGAAATGTGAAAGTGAATGCCTCACCCAGAGTAGGCCTGTGATGAAAAAGGTATCAGTAACCTTCATCAAATGCAATAATTCTCCATCTAAAGGTAGAATGTCTTCAGCTTGATAGCAAATGCTGAGGTATTTGATGTGTGAACATAAAAATTATTCTCCCTGGAGCCAGGAGTCTGAGTTCAACTAATTATGAGAATGAACAAATTAGTTAGCATTCTTTGAAGCAAACTATTATTATTACATATACCACCTTCATAAACTTGTATAAAATTTGACACAAAGTAATAAAATGTGTCTGCTAATTTTCTAGACATCATCTTGGGGGAAAGCATGTCTTTAAAGTATTCCTGGTCTCACTTCACAATGAGTAATAGTCATTTTAGAGCATAGGGAAACCACTTTAATAGTCCTAGAGTCACCAATTAGGCTTCAGATCGTAATAATCACTACATAAAATTGCTGTTATAAAAACAGTGAATCATATTTCTCAAATAGATACTTATTCACCTGAACTCGGCATTAAGAGGGTGTTTGATTTCCCTGACAACCTATCATTTTCTAAAGACATTTTACCTGTGCACTTTGAGGTCACTTCCTGTTGTGTGGGGTTTTGAGGACAAACCTTTAGTTACTCAGAGTTACTGCCGACTTCTTGTGAGCTCTAAGATTTCATTTGCTGAGATGCTCTGATTAAACATGGTACTGGACATTCCTGTGATAAACGTGTGGCTTTAAGGGTGAAAATGTAAAATGATTGTGATCAAAATATCACCTATATCTTGATATAAAAGAAGATTTAGCAGCCAAATGTGATGGTACACACCTTTATTCCCAGCCCTTGGGAGGCAGAGGCAGGTGGATCTCTGTGTGTTTGAGACAGCCTGGTCTACAGTGTGAGTTGCAGGACATCTAGTGACACTCTCTCAAATCAAATAAATAAATAAAATTTTAAGGGTATAATTTTAAAAGCTAGGATCAGACTTTTAAGTAAGAGATAGTGTTTTACTGACATGGAAGAACCTGAGTGTCATCTCTACAAAAAAGAAACAACAACAACAACAACAAAAAAAAAGCTGGAAATAATTGTCCCTGAAAATACAGATTGCCTTCAGAAGTCTCATAGCAAATGTGTCCTTAACAACAAAGAGTACATTTTCCTTAATTGTTCTCTTCAGGGTCATCTGCCATTTTAGAGGTGTGATCAAACTTGCTAAAATGTGATCAAACAATTTATGTTTAGATATAATTATATTAATAGCCATTCTACATATCACACTTCCTCCTGCTTTTAAATGTGTACATCAGTATGACTACAAACATTGCATCTCCGTTTGTTCTCTTTCTAGATTTATTCCTTACGACATTGTCTGCCTCTGATACATTCCAGTTTGAGATATGGGAAAATTTGGTAAGAAATCATTTCTCTGACGCATTTTTAAATTCTCACTTTCCATAAGGGCACACCATATTATAAACTAAGATTACTGTGATCATTTGGTTGGTTTCAGTAATAAACGGAACAGCATTAAGAGCCTTTGGTTGCATTGCTGCACCCAAACTGCTGAATACTGAAGAAGGTGATTTGTTAAGCATCAGGTCCTCTGCAGGTTTTTAGGCATGACTGCCAATTAAAGCAATAAGCCTGCTCTAATGGGGATGTTAACAGGACCCCTGCCGGCCTGTCAGCTGTTGAAAGAAGATCCTGACATTTAATTTTTCAGTTTGGTGATTTGTGAACTTTTTTTTAAAGTAATTTTTTCTCCTCACCTTGAAACTTAGATAATTACATAGAGAACTAAATAATTGGGAGAAATAAGAAAAGGTAGAGTGGCATAATGAAAACGCATTATATATCTATATGAATGTGTCAGAAACAAAGTTTTTAAAGGAATAATTAAAAACAAATGACAATTAGCTGCCAGGTTGGCTGAGATTAAGGAGTCTTTCCCCATTGATGTTCATAGTTAATGAAAGGTTTTCAAGATTTGATTTTTAGTTTAATATAGGTCATATGAAAGATAAATTAGTGAAGATCAAATCACCAGGAATAGTGAAAGCTCAGTTTCAGGCTGCATAATGGAAAGTAGAATTCAAGGCCAGTGAAAATGCCCAACCCGGTGATGTTTGTCGCGTATTAGTCAAATATGAAAGTCTTTCCTCGTGGGAAATGGCATAACAGCCTGCTCAGGAAAGCGTTTGAGAAGGAAACATAGTGGTGCAGAGTAGGCATCAAAGGTTAAAGGTTTTGATTTCCCACCTAATTGCTCCTGATTAACTGGTGTCTTTTATTCAGTCCAGATTAAACCATATCCTAGATTTTATGAGACTTCTGAGAGTAAACAATCAGTTCTAGCAAGTGTATAGTAAAAACTCCTGGGACGAGATTGCTGGAAAGTCATTTCTTATCACAGGGCCAGTGATGTTGCTCATGACTCATGAAACTAAGATTCCTGTTTAAACTAAATGGGATTGGAGCATCTGACTGCCTCAAGATGACTCGTGGCAGTTTTTTTTAATAGGACAAGGGAGGTTGAGAGGGACGCTGAAGCAGAAAGTAACCTTGGTCAGTATCCTAGGTTTTGAAAAATGTAACTGAATTTTGTGTCTGATGATATGAATCTTGTTAGTGTTATTTTTTGTAGTTGACACTAAGACACTCTCTGTTAGAGAACACTTGCTTGAAGATGGTTTCCATTCCTACCTCAAGTAAATCTTGAGCTTAGAGCACACAAGACCTATTTGATTAGTTTGTACCAGAGAGAGGCAGGCACGCCTCAATACAAATAAGTAGAACTTATATATGAGATCATAAAGTACATGCATAGGATCCTCTCATTCTAGCCTGATATGAAGGGAACCAAACATAGCAAAGCAAGGTTCATGAAGAATACAGATTCTTGATTGAGATTTTTTTTTCTTCAACATCTTTTTCTTTTGTAGAAAACAAATATGTTATTAACATAAACTAAGTTGTTTTAATAAAGTGGCAGAGTCAATAAGTAAGTATTAAAGGAAAAATTATTTACACACTTGGATACAAAGTGTGTAAATAGTCCTGGTGACACATTTCTTTAATCTCAGCACTTGGGAGATTGAGGTACACATGTCTCTGTGAGTTGGGGTCAACCTGCTCTACATGGCACATTCCAGGCCAACCAAGGCTGTATAATGAGACCTGCCTCAAGCAAAAATCAAAAATAAAACAAACAAAATAGCCAGGGGGCTAGAGAGATACCTCAGCTGTTCAGAGCAGCAGCCACTCTTCCAAGGATGCTGAATTTGAGTTCAGGTCTCAGCACCCACATGGTGACTCTGAGTCTTCCACTCCAGTCCTCCACAGGCATTGCATGGGTATGATTGTGTGCAGACAGAACGCCCATGCGTGTAAAATCAAAATTAAAATGGTTTTAAAAATGTCTTTTTAATTAAACACTTGTTGAAGATGGAAAGACAGGTTTGGTTTAGGGAGACTATTTACAATGGGGCTTTGATATGGGGATGGGAGTATTGGACTTAACTACAAACACAAATACAAAGTGATAATTTTATAGCCAAGGAACAAAGAATAATATTACTAAGAGGAAGGAATGGTTTTTGTCTGAACCTACCTAATAGGATCCTAGCTTAAGGCAGGCCAGAGCTATTAGTTAAATGAAAGAAGTGGGGATGCTAACTAACCTAATTTAGTTGGCTTTTTATAATTCTATAAAGATGGGGATGAAAGGCCAACTTTGGGCTAAGTAGAATTCTTAAAAGAGAAGTTACACAAAGAGACACTCTGTGTCAGTACTCACTGAGTATATCACTAATATAAATGAAGGGAAATATGTGTTGAAAATTAACTCAATTAGATAACGGTATTCATAAAATAGCTTATCATTTTCAGTGAAAGACTAGTTAAATACTTTTTAGTAATATATCAGTTGACCAAATAGAACCTCAGCATTTAAAACCACATTAACTAGTAGAACAGTGAAACTGCAGCAAGTCTGTGCATGCTTAGCTCAGTGACCACACTCTAGGAAAGAGCAAGCATCTCACACACCTTTCTTCTGTGGCTCACTATGGCTTCTCTAATAATAAAAGTGGATAGGAGATTGGGGTGCTTTTAGAGAAAGAACAAAAGGATTGAATCATTTTCTCTTCAGTTTTCCACTTGACAGATGAATGCATTGTGATGGCCTAATTGAAAATATTTTGGCTTTAACAGGGTGGAAACTTCTCTATCAATAGTGTCTTTGAAAAACCTAAAAACCTGGTGGTGGTTGGACAGTCAGCATTCGCAGACTTTGGTAAGACTGCTTTTGCCTTTCAGTGCCCTCACATTCCCAGATTCAAAACACAGCCACAAAGATTATAAATGATCAAAATAACGGGTTATCGCCTGTCTGCCTTCCCTGCCTTCTCCTACGTGGTTACTAGAGTAGGAGTAAACAACAAATTGTAGAGTGATAAAGAAGAAACTAAGTTAAGGATTTATTACCCAGTAGAGTTTTTTTTTTTAAAAAAATAGTTGTAAGAATTTCTTAGTTTGTTAAAATTGATTCTGTCTTCAGTTACATGAACAACTCCATTAGAAAAGTCATATAATTTTACAAGATCGTTAACTCTTACAAATTCAGTGCAAAACTTAGACCTCTATTATACTTAAATTGCTGTACTAAAACCAATGTAATAAAGCTGAAGTTTTGAAAATAAGATCCTTGCCTTAAACAAATATAGTGTACAAGTGGGAAGACAAAGGGTAAATATCCCAGAAATAAATACAGGAACAATGAAAACAAGGACCACATTTAACAGGGAAAAGAGATTAGACTCCCACAAAGCCAGTACATGCAGTAGGATCAAAACCCAGTGCCATTGTCCTTGGCTTCTGACTAGCCCTCATTGTCCGCCACGTTCAGAGAGTCCAGTTTGATCGCATGCTCCATCAGACCCAGTTCAGCTGGCCTTGGTAAGCTCCAGTTAGATTGGCCCCACCGTCTCAGTGGGTGGGTGCACCCCTCACAGTCCTGACTTCCTTGCTCATGTTTTCCCTTCTTCTGCTCCTCATTTGGACCTTGGGAGCTCAGTCCAGTGCTCCAATGTGCGTCTCTGTCTCTATCTCCATCCATCACCAGATGAAGTTTTTATAGTGATATGCAAGATATGCCTCAGTATGGCTATAGGATAGGGCCATTTCTGGCTTCCTCTCGTCAGCTGCCCAAGGAACTAGCTGGGGACATCTCCTTGGACTCCTGGGAACCCCTCTAGAGTCAAGTCTCTTGCCAACCCTAAAATGGCTCCCTTAATTAAGATATATACTTCCCTGCTCCCATATCCACCCTTCCTCTATCCCAACCCTCCCACCCCCAAGTTCCCAATTTTTGCCTGGCAATCTTGTCTACTTCCAATATCTAGGAGGATAACTATATGTTTTTATTTGGGTTCACCTTCCTATTTAGCTTCTCTAGGATCACGAATTATAGGCTCAATGTCCTTTATTTATGGCTAGAATCCACTTATGAGTGAGTACATACCATATTCATCTTTTTGGGTCTTGGTTACCTCACTCAGGATAGTGTTTTCTATTTCCATCCATTTGCATGCAAAATTCAAGATGTCATTGTTTTTTACCACTGAGTAGTACTCTAATGTATATATATTCCACATTTTCTTCATCCATTCTTCCATTGAGGGGCATCTAGGTTGTTTTCAGGTTCTGCCTATTACAAATAATGCTGCCATGAACATAGTTGAACAAATGCTTTTGTAGTATGATAGGGCATCTCTTGGGTATATTCTCAAGAGTGGTATTGCTAGATCCTGGGGTAGGTTGATCCCGCCCTGAGAAACCGCCACACTGATTTCCAAAGTGGTTGCACAAGTTTGCATTCCCACCAGCAATGGATGAGTATTCCCCTTACTCCACAACCTCTCCAGCAAAGGCTATCATTGGTGTTTTCGATTTTAGCCATTCTGACAGGTGTAAGATGGTATCTCAAAGTTGTTTTGATTTGTATTTCCCTGATCACTAAGGAGGTTGAGTGTGGCCTTAAGTGTCTTTTGGCCACTTAAACTTCTTCTGTTGAGAATTCTCTGTTCAGTTCAGTGCCCCATTTTTTTAATTGGGTTAATTAGCATTTTAAAGTCTAGTTTCTTGAGTTCTTTATATATTTTGGAGATCAGACCTTTGTCCATTGCAGGGTTGGTGCCGAGCTGCTTTTATTGAGGTGTTTAGTCATAGCAAAAGGGAAGGACACCAAGAGAAGTTTATATAAGAATTATAAAATTGCTACTTTAGATTCTTGACTTTTTTATATATACTCAGCATTTAAAGCTGAGTTGGATATATTTAAGGAAAAATTGGAACACAGTGACCCAGAAGCCTATGTGTAGGTTTTTATATGATAAATTCTTGACTTATGAATGAGTTTTTATAAAGCCATACCTCAGACTTAATTACACAGTCTCAAACTACTACACAGTTCACAGTTTTTAGCGATGCCTATTAGTGTGAATGCAAAATTATCCCTTTGAATGTAAAATTTCTGTAGACTAATGATGTCTTTTACACTGTTGCATGTATTTCATAATTTAATGGATATATTCAATGTTTGGTAATATAACACCACTTAGTTGAACATGTATCACTATAATTCTGCTCTGATTAGTATGACAACCTGTTTCCAGTGCCCTGTGAACTTCACAATCTCTTCATTCTTTGATTTCTACAGCACTGTAGTGGTGACTACTGAAGACACCTTGTCTATTCTTAAACCTGATAGATTCATACATCTAATAAGATGGTAAAATATATTTCTCTCTGGCAAATTATACCTGAGAGAAATTCCCTGCTGTCAGTCAGAGCAATATCGAAGCCTCTGAGTGATATGAAGGTATCCTGTGCTATTTTCAAACAAGTATCACTCAAATTTTCAAGGTAGCCAAACTGTGTAGAATATACTGCAAAGCACATGCTATATGTATTTATGTAAGGATACTCAGGAAACTACCACCCTGCTGCCCCTGCAGAAGAGAACAGAGAAGAGCAGGGAACGTGCTTTCTAATACTTACTAACCCTTGAATGGTTCTAAAAATACCAGAAGTGATCTTAAAAAACATACTTTTTGTTACGGTCTGGCTCCATTGGCTAGATCTTTGTCCCATGCAGCCTAACTTTTTTTTCCTTTTCAAATTAATTATTGAGGTGTCTTAAACTTGTTTTAATCTTATACTTCTCTTCATATAGCTCTATACAGTGAAGGCTAATTTTGTATTGATAGTCCTTTGATTTACAGCCAGCTATAAATCCTACATTGTGCCCAAGTGAAATAATGAGTAAATCATAGTAAATTAATTAGTGGTTAAAGAAGCTCAACAGGTGCCCCGAATTTAAAGGTTAAATTACTACTCCGATCACAGAAGGATTCAGCTTTAGGCTCCCGAGCTCTCTAAACTTCAGACAAGGGGGTCTTCATGTGTGAGTGAGCATCAGAGGAGGTGATTCTAGGATGAAGATATATGCAGAATAGTAGCTCTCTAGCCAAAAATCCAGGCAGATATAAAGAAACTGTGCCAGACAACCTGGTGTTATCTATAAAGTTCACACTGAAGAACTATGCAATCAAATTACATTGTTTTCAAAATGTCTCTAAGTGTTTTAATTAGTTAACAGTTGCGTTGGGGACCGGTATGCATGGGAATTGGACATAGCAGTGGGTGTACTCCCTTCATGTGTATCTTTATTGATGAAAATACATAGCTTTTTATGAGAAGCCAAGGAACAGAAAACTCTGTAACTCATGAGTTAAAGTTCATGCTGGCTAAAAGCCACTTAAAACTACATATATGTCCCCCATATTTAAAATTGGCTATATAATAATGTTACTGTGTGGATACATGTGTGTCTTAATCTCAATATAGATAACTACATAATAAAATCAAAAACTTCCTTTTAAAATATTGATTATTTAGAGTTGGCAATGTAGCTCAGGGGTAGAATACTTACCTGATATGTGAAGACACCCGAGTTCAATCCCCGAAGCATCATCATCATCATCAATAACAATAATAATAACTCTGAATAAGTTTTCAAATGACTTTAAATCAGGATTAACTTTAATAATTATGTATAATAACATCTAATCACAAAGAAGTTTGAAATTTAAAACAAGACTCAGAAAAATAAAATAAAGCAAGATACGGTGTTAAGGATGGAGTGTCATTTTGTAATGACTCACCTTCATTATAAAGCTGTGTGTCCAGTTGTTGGCTTCGTCTGGATAGATGGAACTATTTAACAAATAGGAACTTTAGTTATCACACAAGAAGATGTTTTCCTGGGCTGTTCATAGACTCCCGAATCTCCTTCTGACAGATGGAGATGGACATATGGATCACTTGCTGCCGGGCTGTGAAGATAAAGACTGTCAGAAGAGTGCCATATACTTAATGAGATCTGGAACAGGGCAGGTATGTCAGCTTTGGGGTGCCATGAGTGATGTGTGCCTGAGAAGTCTTAAACGTTAGAAAACATGTCGAAAGAAGCACAACAGAATAAAATACAAAATTATATTATAGAATTCTTCATTTTACCTAAGTAAAATACATTTAAATCTTTTCATTCTTTCATGGAAGTAGAAAATACTGCTGTGTTGATTTTTAGTGACGAAACCCCATTCTGGATCCTGTAGTTAAATTAAATGTAGCATTTTAGATGTCAGCGATATAGAAAGCACATTATAATAAAAACTTATGAGGAAAATGATTCCGCACCTAGATCAACTCCTGGTTTGTTTCCATGTGCAGATCCATCCCATTTCTCATGCTGACTTGTTGCCTGTTACTTAATAGTTTAGAATTATGAGAGTCACGGTGGAGGATTAATATGGAAATAGTAGGTCATGACACTTTTAGAGTTAACCAGCTGTATTTTCTTGGGGCATTAATAAATAATAGGGTACCATGCTGACTTTTATAGCCCTTTTGAGTAGGAAACAATACATTTTATATTCAGAAACTTGATAAAAAAAATTTTATACATTCAACATTTTAAAAATCATTGAATTATTTTATTATCTTTGACTATATTTGGATAGTCGTGAGTCATTTAGAACACAAGCTCAAGAGACTTCTCATAATTGGCTCATAGGCATAAAAATATACAACAAGAATACTTGAAAATTATATAGTTAACCAGGTATGGTGGTACACACCCTTAATCCCAGCACTTAGGTAGCAGAGGCAGGCAGATCTGAGTTTGAGACCAGCCTGTTCTACAGAGTAAGTCCAGGATAGCCAGAGCTATCCAAAGAAACCCTGCTTTGAAAAGGGGGGGGGGGGTAAAGAAAGAAAAAAGAAAATGAATAATTACCTATATCTACAAAGACAAATATGTTCTTTGATGAGTGTTATAGATAATGAATTGAGTGGGAAAAAATTAAGTTATCATCTGTATATTTATTCCGCATTCATAAATTCTTGACTGCTTCAAAAATTTGGGATTTTTTGGATTTAGTTTCTTATTGCATTTTGTGGTTGTTTGTTTGTTTGTAGTTTAGGGTTTCTTTTTTTTTGTTTTTTGAGACAGGGTCTCTGGCTCTGGCTTTTCTGAAACTCACTCCGTAGAACAGGTTGACCTTGAACTCATGGAGACCCACTTATCTCTGCCCTCTGAGCACTAAGATTAAAGGTGTACAACCCCACACTGTACCTGGTTTCAGAATTTGTAACAATTTAAAGTTTTGTGAAACTTCCAGCTTTCTTGCAACAATTTTGTTTTTTTCAAAATCAGGTGAAATTATTTAAATTTTTGTTTCTTGAAGTTCGCAAAATACAAAGTAGTACTTTTTCCTTAAATAAATTTATTCAATGTCTTTGTCATTAAAGTTCCTCCTCCCTCTCCACATGGCAAGTCACACTTTCTTAGGAAAACTTACAAAACATTGGAGAAGATACTTTTTTTTTTTGCTAGATCTTTCTTTTTTAAAGAAGCCATTTTAATATACTTTGATTTGCAGCAATAAAACTTAATGAAGTGCTTCTGAAGAGGAAAACTGCATGTGTGTGCATGTGTATGCATGTTGGCCACTACCACTTGAAGTCTGCTCTACCTGCTTCCTCTTAGGACATGTCCAGGTTCAGTGCTAGTATAGGGACTCTTATGGGAACATGGGCACATCTGTAATGTTAGTGCCATAATTTCTAGTCTTCAGATTTTAGTGTTATATTAATTTATCGAAGGGTGAAAAGAGCTGTGCAATCAGAAGAGGAGGGGAGAAGATCAATTTAAAGGCAACCTGTTCTTTCATGGTAATCATGTAGAAATATGAAGAGTTACTGAAAACCCTGCTCCCAGTTATTGTAGCGTCATAGCCCATCCTCCTTGTCTGTGCTTTGCCTGTCAGGTGAGGACGGAGCTTGTTCATTCCCGAGGTTGAATACATGTTGTGAGGGACCTGTGGCTCTGTGTGCTGTTCTTGCAAAGATGCTCATGACAATGCTGTGGAAGACCAGCTCCCCAGTGTCCTACACATACATCAAAGTAAATGGTAGTAGCCTATCATTGCGTGAAGATGAAGAAGTAAAATGAGGCTGTTTTCAGCATTTTTCATAGATCATTCCTTTGTGAATGATGACTTTTTCTGAAGTGATTATGATTATTCTTTTTTTTTTCTCATTATCCTTAGTGGGTTCCTGTGCTTCAGGATTTTAGCAACAAGGGTACACTCTGGGGCTTTGTGCCATTTTTGCATGAAGAAAAGCCAACTTCAATACCAATTCCAATCACCCTTCACATTGGAGACTACAATATGGATGGCTACCCAGATGCTCTTGCCATATTAAAGAATACATCTGGAAGGTATGGAGAGTAAATTCGTGGCACACACTTGAAAAATGTCTTTACCACAGCAGCTTGTGACTGACAGCACTTAAGCTGGTGCAGTCTCTCCAAGAAGCAGTTGGTGGGCTGCGCTCATGCTTCCTTGTGTGGTCAGTGAACTCATTGCATGACTTAGGAAACATTCTTTCTACAGACTCATTTTCTATTGAGAAAAAAATAAACATTCACTGTAAAATGAAAAGTTATTTTTTTATTCAGCTTTGTTTTTTCTAAAGACAAATGACAGTACATTTTGAGACTGAAGATTGGTGATTAAGAACTGATTCTAGACTTGAGTTTCAGCCTAGCACTTTCTGTGTGATCTTGGACAGGTCACCTAAACTCATGAAGTATGAAATGAGAGTAATAATTATACCTCTGGCATAAATGAGGTAAAGTAAATGGACAAGCCATTTAGGAAGATACTCTGTGCGTATCAATGCTCTTTAAGTAAATATTACCTATGATTACTTGTTTTCTAGAAACACCAGAATTCCCAACGTGATTATTGATTCAATTTATGTATATATGCGATATGTAACTATGTTCATTATATAACCTGTGATTTGGACACTGTGGCAACTCTTTTCTTTTAAAAGATACTAGAAGATAAGCTGAAGTTCATAATTATCCCAATGTTGCTAGACTCCATGATTGTGACTTCCACTAAGTTCCTCTTGTTTTGTTGACATTATAACTAGTTGTATTCTTGGAGAGTAATCTTTCCTGTGCAGCTTACCCACAGTTCATAATGAAACATTATTTCATTGTTTACTTGAAAACACCCTGAGTACCTCTAAAATACTTTTAGAAAGCTGTCAGTAATCATTATACTGTATCAGGGTTTGTGTGGACAAGAGAGCCATGAAGATAACTCTTCTTAACAATACAGTGACTGGCATTGTGCTACCTGGAAGGTGTTACCACGAGATCACAGATTCCAGAGCAGTCCACATGTAACAAGATCTGTCCTTTTTGGAGAGAAGAACAAAAGCATAAAATCTCATGAAAACAAAGGAACATAAAATTGCTTTATTATGGACATAGCTGTATTTACGAAATACATTTTAAATTTAAAATATACATTTTAAATTCATTCAAACCTGATTTCTCATCCTTAGAAGATCATCCAAATAATTTATATTTTCCTTTAAAAGGTTTTAAAAATTTTAAAGTTTTGTCAATTTTTCTCTTTTAAACTTTCAAATACTTGACATGTGTTCTTTAACTTTTAGCTTATAGTGATGGTATACATAACTGCTCAACTGACACAAAATGAATTTACAGCAAGAAATCCTAATTTCCAAAGCAAGCATAGGAGTTGGTTTGGTTTGGTTTTGCTTTTATGTCTACTCCGGGCATGGTACCATCTTATTCCAAAAAAGGCTGAGGCAGGTGGAACTTGAGTTTAAAGTCAATGAGACTATATAATATAAGTTAATCCTATCTCTAAAACCAAATTTTAAGAAGTCTAGATAGTTTTATAAATGTAACTGTTAGGAGCCTAGAGTTTAGTTTTAGCCTGGATGAGACTGACAGGTAAATGTCATCGTATCTCAGTGTCCGCTGGACCACCAGCTGGGAAACATCCTGATTCTGCATTAAGAAGTCTTGGAAATACAGAATAAGAAAAGAAACATGGCGTGTGTTTGAATCATACCCCACATGGATTTAATTTGTTTAAGAGTTATTTATAACTTTCCCTGGCCTCAAGACTAGCAGTGCTGTGAGTGTCGGTGCTGAGTGCTGTGTCTAAGTCCCCAAGGATTGCCAGCTCAAAGTGGAGATTTCCTTTTGCCTGTAATTTTTGGAAGTCAGATAGGGAGCAACCAGAGTAGATGATTTGTCTTGAAAAACTATTTTGAGACCATGGTTCAGTTTGTTTTGTGCTTTTTCTTGTTGTTAAAAAAAGGATTGCATAAATAGGTATGGTGATGCTGACCTGTAATCCCTCACTCAGATGGTGGAGGCAGGAGGATTAGAAAGTCTTGGCCACTCTTGTCTACCCAGTGAGTTTGAGGCTGACCGTATACGTGAGATTTTGTCTCCAAAACCATAAAATCCCGTTGTTGTGACTATTCGTTATAACTGCTAATAGGATTTGGGAAGAGTTTCATTATCTTAATTAATTGCAAGCCAATTGAACAGAGCTTCCTGGGCCTTCTTGGGCTTTTATAGGAAAAGAAAACCTAGAAGTAGCAAAGAGAGCAAAGTCTAAGACTCATCCATGAGAAAATATTGTTCAATTCCAGTAAATAAGTAGCCAAATAGAATGTATTGCCTGAGAGCCAGACACATGAAAAAGCTCCTGCACCCAAAGCTGGTGACCATTATGAGTCCTAGGAACTGGAAACAGCAAGGTAACAACTAGAAACTGAGACTTTGTCAAAGACATGATTCCTGGTAACTTCTGGTGTCCGTGTTGGCTAGTTAAACCGCCCAATTGTAATCTGCATTTTCAACTGCAACCTCTGCTTTATGAATTAATTTAGCTTGATGTTGATAACATTATCTCTCAGCAAGAAAGGATACCTTAGACTCCAGATGCTCTGTTTTGAAGGGCAAAGAGGTTCACACTACAGGTTCCTGCCTTTCTAACACTTGTTTTTAATTTTTACTATGAAAAATAACAGATTTTCTTCATCATTTAAAATAACACATTTCTAAATTTAAATTTAGTAACTCAAATAGCTCATAGTTTCTGTTTCAAGTAAAATTTTCCTTTATTTTTTTCTATGGATATGGGAAATATAAATGCTTCCTAACTTGCAACAAACATTATACAATAAGCATCTCATATACTTCCTGGGAATGTTTGCTGTTTTTTGGCAAAATCAATTGTGGTTAGCTATGTCACATACCGTGATAGTGTTTCTAACTGTTCAAATGTTATTTAAGAAGAATAGCCTGTTTTTAACACTATAGCCTACATTATTTGCTCTTCGTTGCAGTGATCGATTATATTTTTAAAACATACAACAAAACTTTGTTTTTAAGAAACTAGCCGGGCAGTGGTGGCGCACGCCTTTAATCCCAGCACTCGGGAGGCAGAGGCAGGTGGATCTCTGTGAGTTCGAGGCCAGCCTGGTCTACAAGAGCTAGTTCCAGGACAGGAACCTAAAAGCTATGGAGAAGCCCTGTCTCGAAAAATCAAAAAAAAAAAAAAAGAAAAAGAAAGAAAGAGAGTAAGAAAGAAAGAAAGAAAGAAAGAAAGAAAGAAAGAAAGAAAGAAAGAAAGAAAGTATTGAAATCACAATCTGAATCAAGAATTTTAACAGTCTCTTAGTCCTCTACCCATGAGTCACTCCTAATGATGGCATTTCACTTACTGACTGATTTTCCCACTTTGTTGATATAGTTATTTACACATAATTTCAAGATTTGATAGTTTATTGGGTTAGCATTATGTTATTTTACTGGGGAAGAAGGGCTGAGCAGCTGAGAGCACTTACTGTTTCTACAGAGGACTTGATTTGTTTCTGGAGACCCACATGGTGGCTCATAACTACCTATAACTCTGATTCCAAGAATCCAGTGCTCTCTTCTGACTTTCATGGGCACTAGGCATGTGATGTATATTCATATGTTGCTGAAAACACTTATACATAAAGTAATATGTGTTAATCTTTAAAAAACGTTTATGTCATTTTTCTAGGTGGATTCTCAAGTAACTCCCTAAAAAAGTTTCCGTTCTCTAAGATCTTCCCAGTCTTTTTTTTTTTAAGATTTGTTTATTATGTAGACAGTATTCTCAGTATTCTGTCTGTGTGTATGCCTGCAGGCCAGAAGAGGGCACCAGATCTCATTACAGATGGTTGTGAGCCACCATGTGGTTGCTGGGAATTGAACTCAGGACCTTTGGAAGGGCAGGCAATGCTCTTAACCTCTGAGCCATCTCTCCAGCCCCCTAAACAAAGTATCCTTGTTCTGTACCCAGCACATAATACGTAAGCAGCCTAGTGAGTGATGTGCTACTCCACACATGGTCTCAAGACCCCTGGGAAAGCCCCCGTCTGAGCATCTAGTCAGTGACATACTTCTCTGCACTTTCTCAGGGCAGGATCTAGATTCGTGCTCTGCTGGGACTCTGGAGAGTCATTCAAATGAAGAGCCCTATTTCTGTATTCTAAATGTAGTTTAGAAAGGATTGGCTGAAGATGTTTGGTTTAATTCTGCTTTGGATCTATCTAGCAATGGACTATTTTTATTAGGTATCACTACCTAGAATAGCATCAAATTGTGTATGTGTTTCCAATGCCATAGTAACAAGTTGCCACCAATATAGTATCTTTTTTAAAGTGTAAATTTATTCTTTTACAATTTGGGAAGTCAGAGCTCCTAAATGGCTTTCACTGGGATGAAGAAAAAATAATGGTTTTCCTGGAGGTTATAAACCATTCTTTTCACCTTCAAAGCTAGCAACATGGCATCTTGGTAAGAGTCAGGATTTCCAAACAACAGAAACCCTAGGAAGGCTAAGGAGCAAGACATTGTAAAGTATGACATAATACTGTGTGCACTGTGCGTCTTTAATACTCTAGAACTAGCAAGATGGAGATCAAGAGAGCCTAGTCCAGAAGACAACAACAAGGACAGTAACATTGTAAGTTCCAGTTCAAAGCCCCATAGGATCTAGAAGCCAGAAGAGTCAAAGTATCAAACCACACTTGAAGCCAAAAAAGACTCTACTCAAACAAGGAGAACATCCTTCTTACACTACTTTTTTACCCTGTTTGACTTATTAATTGATTAAATGTATTTTCTCCAGCCTGCTGTACCAGATGTTAATCTTATCCAGAAACAATCATAGAGATACACCCAGAGCAAAGCTTAACCAAATGTATGGGTATTCCATGACCTTGTCAGGTTGATACATAAATTAATCAGCAGTCTTTCTGGCCTCTGCTTCTTCCTAGCTCCCTCTCCTTTCTCTACACCCCATCTCCTCTGTCTTCCTTCTCTCTCCCTCCCTCCCAGTC